TTTTTTTTTTTTTTTTTTTTTTGCCACAGAATCTTTGGCTAATGGCCAGAAGCTTCCTTTTCAGTTTCTACACTGGTGTAATGCATCGGCCATTACCCTCTCTTTTAGTCCATTGGTTGCTATTTGATTTGCTCCCAACTGTAAGAAAAGAATTATAACTCAGAGTGAGTTACTGAGACTGTAAGTGCCAGTTAATGAGAAAAAAACGGGGGTGGCTTGTGCAAGGAGCTTGGAGCTATTCTGCTTTGTGAATTTCTGAATTTCTACTGTGCAGCTAGAGAGGAATTTAACCAGAAATACCAGCCATTTGTCAATGAGATTTATTTATTTAGCACCACCTGTGACCACACTGGCTGGTCAGCGATGGGGGCGGCAGCGGTTCTGGATGCTGTACTCTGAAAAATCAAATTATTCTGAGTTTTGTTTCATGCACAAAAGAACACAAGTTTTTCTTGGCCTACCAGGGCCTCTGGCTGAATTTTGAGATTCTGGTTGGCAACTGTCTGTTATTATGGGTGTCGTGTCATTTCCAATTTATGGCATGGATTACAGGCATGCCAGATATTTAAGAAGTGGTTTTACCAGACAGACACACACACAGACACACAGTGTTTCTGTAGTGAAGCCATGATTCAAACCCAGATCTCCTGAGTCTTAGATCGTCAACATATCCACTACACAACACTGGCTCCCGTTTCACTGTGGTCACTTTGTTGAATCATATTCATTACATAGGCTCAGAACTATAGAATCATAGAAAAGTGAAGTTGGAAGGGGGTCCACGAGGTCATCCAGTCCAACCCCCTGCTCAAGGCAGGAATACGATCAAAGCATCATCTCGCAAGAAGCGACACCTTTCCTGTAACATCATTTGCTCCGCACGAAAGAGTTTGGTATTGATAATCTGAGTCCTGGATTTTCCAAACCTCATGAAAAAGGGTTGTCATCCGATCTTAGAAAATGTAATTGATTAAGCATTTGAATTTTAATCCATTTATTTATTTACTGGTTAAATTTGAATGTAGATAAAATTATTTTGCATTCAAGTTTTAATTCATGTTCATACAGTGAACCAATAGAAACCACCATCCTAAATCCACTAAACAGCTGGCTTATCCTCCTTTCCCCATCCTCAGCAATAACTCATTATTGAGCCACTATCCTCCTCCTTGTTTCATATGACTGATGTCATCCATTCATTCTTTTTGCAGACAAGCTGCCGTCGTGTAAGGAGGAAGTGGGGCTTCCAAATGATTCAATAAATATTTATTTTTAACTTTTGAAATGATAACTATACATGTTCCTTGATGTTAGATGATGAACGGGGGATTGTTTCATTTGAAAAGGTGGTGATGGGGGAGAGCTTTGTGGAGACTCCGGACTGCCGGAGAGACAAACAGGTAGGTCCTAAATCAAATTGAGCCTGAATTTGTCTCTGGAGGCAACAATGATGAAACTGAGGCTCACCTACTTTGGGCACCTCCTGAGAAGGCAGGATTCTCTGGAAAAGACAATCGTGCTGGAAAAGTTGAGAGCAGCAGGAAAAGAGGAAGACCAAATAAATGATGGACTGACTCTCTAAAGGAAGCCATGGGCTCTGAGCAGGGCAGTTCAGGACAGGACAATTTGGAGGCTACTGATTGATAGGTTCATCATCCATCAGAAGCCACTGGACAGCCCATAACAACAGTAGCAAACATAGCAGTTATTTCTTTAAAAAGTAGTATCTTGTTTCCCCGATTCAGGTGGGCATCTTTTTTGTTGACCGAACATTTTTGGCTCAACCTTTTGCACCAAAATCTGTAGGTTTTACCAGCGACTCTAGCTGAAACGGACGTCTCCAACCCAGCCTCCCACTTTTTGCCTTTTCGCCTCCTCGGCAACAGCAGAGATTCCTGGGCTAACGTTTTCTTCATGCCTAATGCCTAACCAGAGCATGGGGGCAAAGCAGCTGTTGATGGGGGTTGGAATAACACACACACACACCGTGGGTCATTTTTAAAGCCTCCTTATCTCCGTAAAGTTCACCTGATTGTTAAAAGCGGAAAATAACCGGGTTGGACTGGGTTTGTACTCATCAAAAGCAACCGGTTTACCGAGGAGCAGATCGGTAACAAAAATAATATGGAATATTTTGGAGAACCGGGTGACTCAGCCGGGTCATTCACACCTTGTCAGCCGGAGGCCCTTCTTTGCTGTGCCCCAAATTAAAGGCTCTTCTTGCTCATGGAAAGAACTGGAAGGGAATTTTCTGCATGAAGGTAATTATAGAGACACAGACCAACAAAGCCTGGGAGGAGGAAATGATGGGAGACGGAGTCCAGGGACATCTGGAAGGGAGCAGGTGTTTCCCTCCCTTCTTGATGGGGTCCAGGTGAGCCCAGGTGTGAGGAATGAGACACCCAAAGGAGACGGGGAGTCCCTGATGATGAGAAAGCTACATAAACAGCTCTGGCTTTTCTCCCCCCCAATTTGGTGAGCTTCCCGGCTTCTTTGGTAGGGCAAGGAGCCCCAGGAGAGAAGGTTTGGCAACCCGGTGGTGGCTACAGTGGATGGTGGTAAGCTAGCCAAGAGGGAAAAATTGTACCTGGATTTGGGGGCAAAGAGAGAGGGGGCAAAACTAGAAATATCAGAGTAACTGCATGGACCATCCAATTGCTTCTGGTTTGTTTGTTTGTTTGTTTGTTTATTTATTTACAAGAGTTTTTTAGCCGCGCCGTTACCAGTGGTCTCTGAGCGGTGTGAGTGGTTTATGATGACTCTAGGAATTTATGGCCTCCAAAATGCCCCGTCCTCAACAGGTTTGCTCAGCACCTGCAAACTCGTGCTTGTGGTTTCCTTTAGGGAGCATGTCCATCTCGTATTGGGTCTTCCTCGTTCCCTGCTGCCTTTCCCCATCTCCGAGTATTTTTATCTTGTCCAGCAAGGCTTGTTTTCTCCTGTGGGGCCCAAACGACGATGGTCTCAGTTCCATTATTCTGATTATCAGAATGCAATTGACAAAGAAGTAGGTAGACTTACAAAACATTATGTTGTAATGAATTTGTATTTTAAAAAGTCACTAAAACGGATCGCATTAAATTGACTCATGGGAGGGTTCAGCCATAGAATGGATGTGAAACTCTTGGGAAAATTGGGATTTTAAGCCTTAATACACTTCCTTGAAACACTGGTGTGTGTCAGTTCTGGTCCAGTGTGAGAAAAAAAATAGCACCTCACCCAACTGATTTATTCAGATTAATTAATAGATTAATTCAGGTTAATAAACTGATGTATTTAGGTTAATAATAAACTGATCTGGTTATTTTTGCAGAGCCTTAAAGGTTCATAAACTGATATAGTGTTGATAGAATCAGAGGCATGGGATATTAGCCCACTAATATTAAACATAACCAGATAGAAGCGATGGTGGAAAGCAACATTTTGGGCTACCCGCCCCCAGAACCCTCAGTCAGCAGGGCCCAGCCTAAAGCCGGTGGCCCGAGACTCCAAGCCCCATCATCCCCATAGAGCAGCCCTGGCAGGGTCCGGGGAGAGAGAGCCTCGCACCGCGTGCTGGCCCATCTCGGCAGGCAACGCCGACTCCAGAGGAGCCTCATTGGAGTGAAGAGGGCCTTTCTGCAGCTGCGCGGCCCCGATCCTGATCCTCCGGCCTCTTTCCTCCAGGCGGAATCTCGTGGGGGCTGCGAGGGAGGGAGCCCCCCCCACTTCCTTCGGAGTCAGCCTGCGGGAGGGGAGGGGAGGCTCTTCGCGGCGCCCCTTCTCACCTGCCCTGGTCGCCCTTTCCAAAGGTGTGTGTGTGTGGGGATGGGGGCCGTATCGCCCAGGTGGGCGGCAGCCCCTCTTGCGCGGAGCCAACGGTGCCAGCCTCCGAGTGCTCCAGAGCGCTTGGTCAGGCTGGGTGGCTGGTATGTCTTTTTGGAAGGGCGAGAGAGAGCCCCTGAAGGAGGGAGGAAGGAAGGAAGGCAGGCTCCGACCTTCCGAGCCGGCATCCTCCCCCTTTCTCTCTCTCTCTCGCTCGCTCTCTGCCCATGGTCAGAGGAGCCCTCGCTGGCTGGCCGGCCGGCCGAGTCGTGCCATCGGAAGCCTTCCCGTGCGCTCCCCAGCCCCGGAGGGAAGGAGGGACCCCCCCATCTCTCTTCCATCCCTTTCTCCCCTCCCACTAGGCCTGCCTGCCTACCTACCTGCCAGGGGGCGGGGCCAGGGGGCGGGGCCTCGGCCGCCACCGCTATAAGAGGCCACCCGCCTCCGCCTACCCGGCGCTTTGCTCTCTCCGCTGCTGCTCCTGGTGCTGCTGCGCCCGCCCTGCCTTGCTTTGCCCGGTGCGCGCCCGTCGCCCGCTTCCTTCCTTCCCTCGCCGGTGTCCGGGGTCCTTCGCTCTCCTCGGCTGCAGGTGAGTGGCTGCCCTCCCTCCGCCTTGGCTTCGGGCCCCCCATCCCTCCCTCTC